CCTTCCTTCCTTCCTTCCTTCCTTCCTTCCTTCCTTCCTTCCTTCCTCCCACTTGCAGAGATACCAAGAAAAGCTAGTATTTTCTGTAAGAGTACAGTTAGGTAAACCATCTAGATGAGAAGATCTGGAAAGATCTGGAAAATGGGTGGATGGATGTTGGGGCTAGTGACATAGGAATGTGGAAGATTCCTGCCCAGGCAGTCTAGAGAATTTAAAGAAAGTTGTGTTGTCATGAACTATCTGGGATTCTTGCCTTGTGACACTGTCAAAACATGACACCATTTTGCCTTCTTAAGAACGTGCATTTAAAAAAAATGCTGATGGCAGCACACTTTAATCCCAGAACTTGGGAGGCAGAGGCAGGCAGATCTCTAATTTGAGGATGGCCTGTTTTACAGAGCTAGTTAAGACAGTCAAAGCTAGACCAAGAAACCCTGTCTTGAAAACCAAACCGAAACAAAACAAAAGAACAACAAAAGTACATTTTTTTTTTTTTTGTAATAATATCATCTCTAATCCAAGACAGCTGAAAAGTCTTGTTTGGAATTTTAAAAAAAATTTGGAATATTTATAAGGAGATGACTTAACAGTAGGAGCACATACTACTCTAGTAGAGGCCCTGAGTTCAGCTCCCAGGACCCATGCTGGGTGGCTCACAATCACCTGTAACTCCAGCTCTAGGGAACCTGATGCCCTCGTCTGATCTTTGAGATCATCTGTGCCCCTCCTTCACACATAATGAGAAATAAAATAATTCTTAAAGAAGATTTTGAAGTCAGATATGTAGTTGACTACTAAGTTGTCTTAGTGGCATGGACTATAAAGATTGGCTTTAGGGCAAGAACATGGAAAATCTCGCTGCATGACCCCTGAAAATTTCCTGGGAACGCCCCTACATATCTGCTTGCCTGTCCCAGACCCCCAGGGCTTCTTCTTAGGCCTGCCATGGTGTGTGGTTGTTATCAGTCCGGCAAGTTCAAAATTCAGAGAGAACCCCTTCCCTTGTTTATCTTCATCCATTGGTTGGAGTTCTAGAAAAGCAGAACTCAAGACTAAGAACTGTACCACATCTAAAAAGTCCCTCTCCTATTGTTCGGTTTTTAGTTCCTAAGTCGAGTTGAAACAAGAGGCAGGCTGAAAGAGAACAATGAATACAAGGATTCTGATGTCTCAAGGGCCTGCGTGGCTGAATTTCCTCATCCATAAATGAGCTTAACTCCTAGTGTAGCATAAGAGACATGATCACAAGCAAGGTGCCTGCCTTTGGTGGTTATTGCTCAGATACCCTCTCTTCATGTCCTGTGTCAGTATCACGGTTTAAGTTCTTAACAGATCTCCACCGCTGTTTGCTTCCATGCCAATCTTCCCATTTACCACTCTCTGCTCCCGCTTCCATCTTCTAATATGGCAGCAGAAGAATCGATGTAAAACACAAAGATGCACCGTATGCTGCGGTAAAATCTTTTAAAGGCTCCTTAGGGTAGCAGAACGAAATCTTCAGCCTTCGTTTGTCTTCCTCTGTTTATGGACATCACAGTGAACCGTCACGAGCACACTCCGTAGGCTCGGCCCCACTTTGCTTGCTTCATACAAACCATTTCGTGTAATCATGCAAAACAGTGCTGTCCTCTGGGTCTCCATGTTGCAGAAGAGGAAAGGATGGCTCAGAAAGACTATGGAACTCACCCAAGAACACATAGCTTCTTGGCTACGGAATTGAATTCACTGTCTGGCACTTTTGGATTCTGGTCTCTGTACTGAGCCACTGCCTCCAGAGCAGCCGGGGGAGGACAAACAGCAGAGGGGACCTGAATCAAAAGATGAAGGAAGGACGATCTGAAAGAAAGGTGCCGGGGAGGAGGATGCAACCTTTTCTCTCCCAACCACCAGCGTTCTCCTCTGGACTTGAAGAACGCTCTGACCCCAGCTTCAAGCCATTTTGCTTTCCCAGAAGACCCAGACCAGCAAGTTTCTGCTTTCCTTGGGGGTTCTGTTTGATTCCTCTCCCAAAGGTGGGTACTCGTCAGATATTGGGAATATGATTGCCATCTCTGGTAGTCGCATCTCTTCTGTGGGATATGAAGAGCTGAAGGGGTACCCCGAGTGCCTGCTTCCAGCCCTTTTACAGATTGTTCAGTCTTTGGGAAGTGGCCTCTGGGTAATCAGAGACGGTCCGGCTGCTTCTTCAACAAAATGTGTCCTCCTGACTTTTCCAGTAGCCATATTCTAATCCCTATGGAAGGAAGGTACTCGGTACCTGGCTGTGTTCAATATTTTAGCTGAGGCCTGTCTGCTTGCATTCCTTCATCAAAAGATTCTGATTGCGGTGTTCCAGAAAATCTTCCTCTCAAAAAAAAAAAAAAAAAAAAAAAAAAAAAAAAAAAAAGATGGTGTGTGCAGGCCACAATTGATGTTGGGTGAATTTTGTTAAACTCTAAATCTTACTAGACTCTACATAAAAGTTTGAGTTTTCAGAGGGGTTAAGGTATGACTTGCCGGATCAGGATCAACACAGCCAGGACGTGCACCCTGGTAACTGCGGTTTTCGCCAGACAACACTAAAACTGATACTTCGGGACGTGCGGGGGTGGGGTGAAAGCAGCGTTTGGGCTTCCTTGCCTGCCGCATCGCTCCGCCCCCAGGCTCGCTCTTTGTGGGGCGACCGCAAGATTTCTGCATTACAGGGAGCCCTGAGCAGGCACCTTTAACCCTAAGCCTGCTCGCTGGCGACCTCCAGAGGGCCAGGACGGTTTGGGAACCGGTGTCAATGAGGACTCTTCTAGTTTAACGACTCTATTTGCATAACGGAGACCTCGCTTCCTCCCGCCCGTCTGCACTGCTTTTTCTTCCCTCCTTCCCCGATCCCCTGCACCCGCATCTGCCAGTCCCTCACTGCTCCCCACAAGACCCCCTTTTCAGGGGACTCACTCGGAGCTTGAGTCCCGTGCTCTTTTTCCCCGACCCGGCGAGGTCTGGAGGCACCTGGGGGAGTGGAGTTCAGGACCAGGCAGGACTGGGGAGTCGCCCTGGCACTGCCCGACCCTAACAAAGGGAATAGGGCTGCCGGCCGCGCGAGCGCTCGGTGGGTTCATCGGCCGCCGCCTTCCCGGCTGGGAGCGCAGCAAGTGAGTAGGGGCGAGGCGGGTGGCCGGGAGGAGGGGTGCAGAGGTGAGCCGAGCCGCCGTCAGGGCTTGGGGGGGGGGTGTCTGTCGTTGGCCTAGGGGAGGGGCCGCCTTGGCCTCCCGTAGCTCGTCAGTCTGCAGATCCATAACAAACCCACGTGTGCAGTGTTGGGGTGGGGAGGGGGAGGCGCGGCAGCGTCCTTATTGTGTAAGGCGTTGCCTCGCGGCGTGCGGGGTCCCTTCGGGTCTTGCTCACCGGGGTAACAGATCCGAAGAGATCTGTAACAGATCCCGCCGGAGGGAGAAGGAGCGCAGGCACCACAACAAACGCACATGTACCCTTGCCAGGGATCTGGGGCGCAGCTAGCCAGCCCTGCTGAGCTGCTCTGCGGAAACGCCTCCGGGCAGATTTTTTTTTTTTTTTTTTTTTTTTGTCCCAGCCAAAACCGAGGGGTGCGGCGCTTGGAGGCCACACTCTGCCGGAGGGCGAGAGAGATGGTTCGCCAAGGCACCCTGTGAGGGGTCCGCTAAACCTGTAGATTTTAAAAGGGAAAACACAAACGAAAAAGAACCTATAGAAAGCCACCCACGCCCCCTCCGTGTGCTCTGATTCTCCGCACGTGAGACGGACAAGCGGTCACCCGTCCCCCAGAGGTTTTCCTAGAGCTTTGGGTTGAATTAAGGGTCTCGTAGGCACCTTTCTAAGTCGGTGCCCGGCACACCATTGTCCGGGTGCTCTGGTGACTGCCCCTGTTGGGAAATCTCGAGCGCCTCCCTAGCCTACCGAAAGAATAGTCCAATTTAAATTCACCAGCGAGGTCTTGGGTTTCGGCTTGCACCTCGCCTCGGATGAGGTCCTCTGTGCATAGACACTCCAGGTGTCGCTGACTCCTCCTCTTCACACAAGGCCACCCAGGGCCTCTCCTCTATTCGGGAGTATCCGAGGCCCGAGGCTCGCGGAGGTAGGTCTGTTGTTTGCTCTGCTTTTTCCTTTCCTTTTCACTCTGCTCAACGCAGCCACATTTTACGCCGTGAGGTCTGGGCTTGGCAGACCCGAGGGCGAACAGAGGGGTGGACAGATGCTAGGCAGCCTGTGTAGGAGTGACAGCGTCCTGCCTAACTGATGCTTCACCTTGGGTAGTTCCCGCGGAGACTAACCTGTCTCTGAGGAGAACTGGACAGCCTCCAACCGCGTACCATCGCTATTAGAAGGGTCTGGGCAGCAGCTAGGGAACCTTGTGTTTTACAGGCAGGAAACTGTCAGCCCCTTCCTTGGGTATGGGTCTCCCAGCTGCACCGCCTGCATCCAAAAGATTCTGTGGTTAGCTTAAAAGGCAGTAGCCTTAGGCAGAGCAAAGAGAAACAACGAAAATAATTCAAATTGGAAACTGCACCCTTCCATTATACCTTTCAAGTGGTCTCTGTTCAGTGGAGAAGAGAGACTTAGTAGTTCCCAGACCCCGGCCGTCCTGCTTCCATAACTTTGCTCTGCTCTCCTGGCTGCGCTCCCCCACCCCGCCCCCCCCCCCTTTCCCTACCCCTGCCCCCCTCCCCTGCCCCTTGTTCTCAAATTGAATTAAGGCCAACTACAGAGGCATAGATATTTTGCCTCACATCCCGGTGCTGAGAGGCCTTTTGTTTGGGCAGAAGCAGGGGCTGTTGACATCCTCCCACCGGGAGGAAAGTGTTTCTTGTAAGCAGCTGCCCCTAGCCCCTTGCTAAAGAACAGGCATTGTTTTCATTGATTTTATTTAATTAATTTATCTATTATTTACGAGTCCCATGGAAGTAACTGTACTTTCTGTGTTTGGCAGAGGAGAAGCAGGCATCGGAAAGAACACTGTGGCCGTTTTCCCCACAGCTAGCTGTGGTCTGTGGCTTCTTTTTCCACCCTTCACCTTCTAGGTGTGTTTACTTTCCCTTTCATTTCCAGGTTGTTTAACACGTAATGTCAACGTAAAAAAAACAAAAACACCACAGCTCTCAACTTAAAGGAAATGAGAGAGAGTTTATTCTGGAGCCACTTTGAGGGACCATGGCCAGAGAACACAGATTTAGGCTATCCCAAATTCCATGCTCCAATGTGGGAGCAGTTTCTCCAAGTTTTTAGAAGTTTTAGGGAACAGACAAGTTATGAATTAAGGGAAGTTTAAAATACATTGGTGGGTGTGTCAGTGAGGTGGGTACATACAATTCGGGAAGCTTTTCTACAGGCTCAAGGTTCCCCGTGATGGCATTCCTAGCCTTTAGATCGTAACGTTAGTTTCCTGCTAAGCTGATAGAGTCTAAAAGGCTTTTTTGATCTGTTGTCACAAGATGTTAGTTCCAACACAGGGTTGGGGTTGGGGGTTGAGGCCGAGGCTGGGCAAAGAATGGACAAGGTGGGATGAGGTAGGGGCTGAGTGGGTGGGGGTGGGGGTGCAAGAAATGGTTGTTCTGGAGGACCAGAACTTAGCCCAAGATATTAGCCCCTGGACCTGCAAAATCCCATTCTCCACAGTACTGAAATTCCAATCAGCTAGTTCAGTCTCTGCAGGCACAGATTCCTTTCTGGAGTTTTTGTTCACAGCCAGGTCATTTGTCTCCTCAGGGTGCTACCCCTATAATGAACTTGAGGCTCTTCTGGTTTTCCACATGGGAAAACTGTGGACCTGAGAAGGGAAATTACTTGCTCCCAAATACACAGAAACACACAGCCAACCTACTTTTTAGTGTCTCCTTTTGCCCCAAAGGGAAGGTGTTGCATCAAACAAGTTGTTGGTACCCCAGAGTAAAGTCAAAGTTATTATGGTTGCGATAACAGCACCCTTTTAAAGTCAAGACAATGAGTTCCTTAAGGACTTAACCGGGTTTGGCCGTTAGGCAGAGGAATGGATGCTGATGGTGGGTATGGCGTGGAGTATTGCAGTTTAGGACCGAGAAGCAGTTTTCTTTGGCTTGCTGAGTGGTCCACTTTGTCCTTGTCCTGGGAAGCTGCTTTGCAAGTATTTGCAAAGCAAAAGACCGTGAGCAGTCGGAAGACATGGAGAGACTCCATTTAGAACTTCACAATAGTTAACCTCCTGGCTCCCAGGAAGGAGGTGCTGCTAGAGGCCTTAGAATCTGAGGAAGGCATGGGCGTGTAGCTCACTGATTGTACCTGGCTTCTGTGTGTGGCTTTCAGTGATAAGAATTTAGGGAAGCATGTTTTTGTTTGTTTCTTTCTTTCTTGCTGGTCTGCATGCCTTCCCAGACTTCATGATAGCACTGTGACTCCCATAAATATGTTTTTTTTTTTTTTTTTTTTTTTACAGGCTCAGTTGCAACACCATCATCATGCAATATTATTGTTCTGTGTTTAAATACTAGAGATGATTTTCCTAAGCATTACTACTAAGGTCATATCAGATCAGAAGTGTTCTGGTTATAAAAGTAAGACACTCCCACTGAAGAATATTTTTAAAATACAGAAAACATTAAAAAAATAGCCATTTACTACTGTCTGGTAATTTTGTTTCTGGAGTTCATAAAACAAAACAAAGCAAAACGAAAGATGGCTTTTCTTTTCTTCTCAAAATAATCGAGAATTATTGTATGTATAGTTATGGCTTTTGTAGTTCATTACAAGAAAAAAAAAACGTTTTGATGATGACGTGCCTAGCACCTTCAGGTTCCCACGGTCCCTTGGGATCTGCTCCCTTCAATGCTTGTTTCAGTGAGGGAATGTCGAGGATGGAGCCACGCCCTCTTCTCTTCCATCCCTGCCTCAACCTTTCAAATGTTAGTCACAGTTTTTCTTTGAGAAAGCCAGAGATGCAGGCACTACAGTGGAGGGAGAGGGACCCCATGCCTGGCCTTGAGCTTTGACCTTGCTCTCTTGTGGCCTCTGAAAACTGAGCAGTAGAATTCCTGTCAATGCTCAGTGAGCAACTCCAGGGTCGTTTGGCACACTGAGTAAAAGCCTTGAGGTCTAAAGGAGGAGATAAGGGTGTGTGAGGAGAGAAATGCTAACCGGCTGCCAATACAAGGGGAGGCAAGCTGCCATGCCTGGATCAGCAGAAGTGTCCGCAGTTGATACTGTGACCAACACGCTAACATTCATTCCAGTTTACTTTCCTCGATTTTTATCCGATAGAGCCTGATGTGACTATCGGGCTGGCTACACTGTAGAAGGCACGGCTGTTGAAGAAACTTGGGAGGTCTAGTCAATTAGACTAGAGTCTTCAAGCGGAAGAGTATTAGAAAGTCAGAGCACAAGCAATTCAGGATTTGAATTCTTGCTTGCCATTCACTGCCCAGTGTAGGTACAAAAAAGCTACCTGAATGTATTAAGCGTCAGTAGTGTTCTCTATAAAAGGGGGGCTTGCTGGCCTTATTCCATAGGTCATTTTTAAGATGACATGAAAGGTAAAAGACCAGCCACAGGTTAAGTCCTCAGTAAGTGCTAGCTATTATTGGTATAAAGTTTCGCTCCTCCCGCCCCACAAGCTTTTAGAAGCTTTGGCCCTAAGGGTTTCTTACCTTGAAAGCAGGGTGTGGCTTTTTGCCCTGGGGGTGGGGAGGAGAGGAGAGGTTAATTAAAATGTAGCCTCCTGTCTACCAAATGACAAATCAAGAGAGGAACCATCACTTGCTTGGGGCCAGTTAATTGTGTTTGTTAAGAAAAACTTCAAACACACATAAACCGTGGGCAGTGAGTCCTGTACCTCTTTTCAACTCCTTAGGAAAATGCACGGCTGACCTCTAACCCTACCTCAACCCCATGTTACTTTGAAGCATGCCCCAGACATCTTATCAGCCTACCCATAAATATTTCACTCAGCCCAAAGCTACATATTTAAGGCACTGAGTTGTGTTGGCTCAGGGCCTGTCTCTTCTCAGGCCATTATGGAATCGTTCAAGCTTGTGGGGAGCGGGCCAAGGAGAGAGGGCACAGCAGTCCTGGGAACTTTTTTCAGCTTTACTGCACCATTATGGAGGTCATGCCATGTCCCAAAGAGACAAAGACAAAGTGGAAGGAACAAATTTAGAGTCCATCTTTTACTAGTTGTTTGTGACCTTTTTTTTTCCAGCATGTTTACAAAAATTGGGGGACTACTGATTAAGGTACTATAGGTGACCATTGTTAGTTAGGCCTAAGCCATACTTGAGCCCAGCTTTTCTTCCTGAGAAGTGGTGTTTCCCTATGGGATGCGGGAAGGCCTACATTCACCGTCCTGTCCTCCTGCGATGTGCCTGAGGTTGCTCAGATGTATGTATAGCTAACCTCCACAGGCTGTCCTTTCATTCTTCCTTTTGTACCTCCTCCCCATCTCTGCTTTATGAAGGGGAGGGGGGCAAAGAAAGCCCTGGTTCTGCCATCCATCTCTTGAATCCCATGTCCTTTTGAAGCTCCTTTTTATTAGGAGAAGGGGGTGAATCTCCCTGTCTGTCTCTGAGTTTGATGAGTTGCAGTTTCTTCTGTTTTTGCACCCAAGAAGAAAGAGAGAGCGTCTGACATGGAAATCAAATTAAAGCAGCAGTTTACTGGAACTCCTGTTTCTTCTAAGCCTATCCCATAACTTGTGGTCCCTGATAATCACTAACCAGTTGTACAGTGTTGGGCAAGACCCATGCCACCCTAGGTATGCCATGCCAGGAACTCAACCATCGGTTCTTCCCTGTCCCGCCTTCCAGCTCTGATATCAAGTGAAAGATGCATGCGAGTCTGAGAGGCTTCCTCACTAGACTAATTAAGGACAGTGTTTTAGAATGTAAAATGTATTTTTTTTTAGACAGTAAAAAATTAACCTGCTTCTATGTGCTGTTTGTCCCATACTCTTTGTCTGCCCTTGCAATCACGCCTAGTGTGCGTGCACCCTAGGCAAGTGATCACGAAGCCATGTCCGCAGCCCTTCCATTTCCCTAAAGTGTGTCCTCTTCATAGCTGGAGGAAGACCTGTTAGCCCCATCTGCCAAGTATTCATGGCCCTATACAAATGGT